CATTCGACTTTTTCTACACCCACTTGCGCCCGACAGATCCCAGACGGTTGAGATTGGTCTTTTCGAACCAGTGGGCTCGCTTCCAGTCTCCCATGGGCCAATGTTGGTGTCACTATGCAAAGTCGAGGCGCTAATGGGAGTATATTGGCCAAATTCAGTGCGTCATCTTTTTGTATTCTGACTTCAGGCTGGCCGCTTTCAGGGCGTGACGCACGGAATAGACACTGACCTCCACTTCGGTGGTGTCTTTCTGTTCTTGCGCTAGCTGGATGGCGGAATCGTCCATACCCGAGGTAAACATGCGGTCACCTACGGAACTCCAAGCCATCGATCGAGCGACCAGAAACCTCCTGACCATGCATCACACCCACCATCCGAAGGCTGCCGTTCAAAGACTCTAATTTCAAAGACGGTAATTTCAACCTGAAGGACATGGAGCGTTCCGGACGACCAGTGGAATTCGATGAGAACCGTTTAAACCAGCTGATTCATGAAGATCCCCGTCAAACCACCATAGAATTGGCTGAGCAGATGGATTGCAGTCACATGACCGTATACCGCCATCTTCAGTCAATGGGAAAAGTCCAGAAGTTCGGTGCTTGGGTCCCACATGTTTTGAGTGAAAACAACAAAAATCAACGTTCGACAATTTCTGCTGGTTTGCTCGNATGGATTGCAGTCACATGACCGTATACCGCCATCTTCAGTCAATGGGAAAAGTCCAGAAGTTCGGTGCTTGGGTCCCACATGTTTTGAGTGAAAACAACAAAAATCAACGTTCGACAATTTCTGCTGCTTTCCGTTGCTTCATATTCACATAAAGGCACCATTTTTCACCAGTAATGATGCGGTAAAGAAACCTTTGCTTGTGGCCATGCGTAGCTCGATGACGCGCGAGCAAACCAGCAGAAATTGTCGAACGTTGATTTTTGTTGTTTTCACTGGAGAACGTCGCCGTGCCTGAAAATTTCCATCGGTCCTGAGCGGAAGTTAAATAGCCGATAGATATCGGGTATGGCTTGGTTAAAATCTGTGTTGCCCCGTGTTGCCCCACCTTCCCCTACTGTATTTGGATCCCGGACATCTGCGTCTGCGACGCACCAATGTGAGCGCCTAGACCAAATGCAGACAAAGATACGTACGTAGGTACGGATGAGAACCCGAGAGACACAAGTACGTACTTTTTACACGTGTACCTCTCATTGCATTTCTCTACAGGGTGGGAGGGGGGCAATTACAAAATACAAATGTCATCTATATCACTCCACAGCACCCACAGCCACAGTGGAAAGAGAGACAAAAGCAGGCACGTGCTTGCGACCCACTTTGTCATTCGCCTTCAGAACTCATATCGCGATCCGTTCTCTTCCGTCCTCCTCGTTTTCCATCCGTTTTGTGCCCTGGTGGCAGGTGAATGATTCTATAAACAAAAGTGGGGCCCAGGTCCAAGCCCATTCCCGTATTCCGTAGTTGACGCATTTATTACAATGAACTTTCACTCAGAACACAAGAACTATCCAATCCTTATCCAGGAAAGGGTTCCAATCCCCCTGATCTGCCGCTG